GCAGATTTTTTCTGTGCAGGAATCTGCAACATATATAAAAACTCATTGAAGCATGCATGAAAACTGATGTAAACTGATGTCTTTGCAAGTGAAATCTGTGCATCAGTTTCAATCAGTTATTCTGCACGTATGGTGTGAAACAAGGTCTTAATAAAGGTTTATTGTAGAACGGCCAATCATCCAGTTAAAATAATGTGACAGTGAAAAAACAGTAAAAACTCACTGACAGAGCTGCTGATACCCCAGGATCATACATAGGTGTCTCAGGGATGATGTCACGCCCAGGGGCGGGACTAACCATTTGGAAACTTGGGAACTGCCCGAGGGCCCGGGGTCAGTAGGGGGCCCAATGTGATGCCCCTGGTACCTTTTTCATAGGCTTTTTTGAGTTTGGACAAGGACACAGGGGCCCCATGATCCCCTATTGCTCGGGGGCCCCATGAGTTGTCAGTCCGCCCCTGGTCACGCCGTTGTATGATCCCAGGTCGCTATGCAATCCTGTGTCATCAGCAGCTCTCTCAGTGAGTTTTTACTTTGCTGTCCACAGTGGAAATGCATGCACCTGAGGAAGATTTGTGCATGAGAAACATGCTGTGTCTGCTGTACCTGATACAGCTTATGGTCTGGTGAGTGTGCATTTGAATAAGGTGGTGGCACTCTTTATTTTCATAACACTACAATGATCTGCTGGATGGTGGAAGATTCTTTTTTTATTAAGGTAGTGGTGCTCTGTGTTTTTGTTACACTACTAGGATTGGATGGATGGTGGAAGATTTTTTTTCCCTTGAATAAATATAGATTTTGATTGAAGAGAGACTTCACACTTGGCACATAGTTTTTTTGTGTGTTTTTGTTATATTCACTGGCACTGCACCATTTCACAATATTGTAAGTCTTTAGGTATGTCAAACTTTGTTTGCCAGCAGCCACATGTGTTATGACAATGCAGATTCATTCCAATACGTTTATGACTTTATTTAATTGACTTGGCAAAAATAAATGAGTGGCGAAAGGAGATAAGCACATTCAAAATTCAACATATACAAATAAGTTACAGCACACTATAATGACACTTAAAGTAAAGTCCCAATGAAAAAAAAAAAATTTTTCTTCCATTCATTTTACTGCATTGGAACATTGCAGTCCAGTTTAAACAGGGCCTTTCAGTTTTTTTTTAATATATTTATCTAGTAAAAAGAAAAGCCAGGACTGAAAGTTACCACCTAAGAGGGAAATGTATGGCATTCATAGTGAAATTTCTCAAATAGATAATATAGAAGCCCATATACAAGTGTCTCTTAAAACGGGGAAACTTGAATGGTTTGGTTACCGTATTTTTCGCTCCATAAGACGCACCTGACCATAAGACGTGCGTAGATTTTAGAGGAGAAAAACAAGAAAAAAATATTCTGAACCAATGGACTGCAGACACAGTACAGGGGATGACCAGAGACTGCGGACATAGACAGGAGATGACCAGAGACTGCAGACATAGTACAGGGGATGACCAGAGACTGCAGACATAGTACAGGAGATGACCAGAGACTGCAGACATAGTACAGGGGATGACCAGAGACATAGCAGATGACATAGACTGCAGACATAGTACAGGGGATGACCAGAGACTGCAGACATAGTACAGGGATGACCAGAGACTGCAGACATAGTACAGAGACCAGAGACTGCGGACATAGGACAGGGGATGACCAGAGACTGCGGACACAGTACAGGAGATGGCCAGTGTTACGGATCCGCCAGGTGGTGCCTCTGGCAGCCCACTAGACGGAATCACCCGGAGCGTGGAGTCTAAGTCCCCGGTCTGCGTTTTCACCAGGGCCCCTGATGGTGGGGATGGACTTGGAGCAGAACCAGGACCAGGTCGCGACCTCAGAGCAATACCACCAGTGGCAGAGGGAACCTCCGGGGATGAGTGTAAACCAGAAGAGAGCCAGATGTGAGGAGGCCGGCAGGACCAGGCAGGATAAAACCGGCGGTTGTCACCGTGGGGGATGGCGCAGGTATAGGGACGGCAGGCAGAGAGTGGTCAGGTCACACACGCAGGGTCAGTATCGTAGTCAGTCCGCAGAATGGTCAAACAAGCCGGGGGTCGGGATAGGAGAAGGCAGCGTAATCAGGCAATCCGGGTCAAACTCAGGAGAAGGCAGTGTAGTCAGACAATCCGGGTCAGAGCTGGAGCAGGCAGAAAGGTCAAACAATCCGGGTCAATAATCACAGGGGCACAGGAAACTCAGGTAACAGGTTAGACCTTGCGGCAACTTGTGACAGTGCAGGGCATCTTTAAATATTGCGCCCTGCACTGTCATTGGCTGCCCAGGACGCGCCCCCGGGCTGTCATTGGCCGCCCAAGGCGCGACCCGCGGCTCCTACTGCGCATGCGCGGCATCCTGTCAGCCGCGGCCCGCCGGGACCTGGTGCTTGTGCCCCGGCGTGAGCCGCTGCTAGTGCGCGTGCGCCGGGAAAGGAGCCACGGCGGTCCCTGACAGCCAGAGACTGCGGACACAGCACAGGAGATGACCAGAGACTGTGGACACAGCACAGGAGATGACCAGAGACTGCGGACACAGCACAGGAGATGACCAGAGACTGCTGACACAGCACAGGAGATGACCAGTGACTGCGGACACAGCACAGGAGATGACCAGAGACTGCGGACACAGTACAGGAGATGACCAGAGACTGCGGACACAGTACAGGAGATGACCAGAGACTGCGGACACAGCACAGGAGATGACCAGAGACTGCGGACACAGCACAGGAGATGACCAGAGACTGCGGACACAGCACAGGAGATGACCAGTGACTGCGGACACAGCACAGGAGATGACCAGAGACTGCGGACACAGTACAGGAGATGACCAGAGACTGCGAACAGTACAGGAGATGACCAGAGACTGCGGACACAGTACAGGAGATGACCAGAGACTGTGGACACAGCACAGGAGATGACCAGAGACTGCAGACACAGTACAGGAGATGACCAGAGACTGCGGACACAGTACAGGTGTCAGGGCTCCAGGGTGTGACCAGAGGTATGTCAACTGACGCAGGAAAACGCAGGCTTCAGATATGTTATAACAATATAATTTATTAACACTAACAATACATAAACGCAGTGCAATACTAAAACATAACACAGTGCAAACGAACCAAACCAAACCACCCACAGATAACAATACATACAATGCAAGCGTCGTCAGGCAGGCCGGGTCAATAACAATCGGGCAGGTAGGAACAGGAGGAGCAGACAGAGAGTAGTCAGGTCACGAGCCGGGTACAGCAACTAACGGGCAGGTAGGTACAGGGGGTCAGGCAGAGAATAGTCGGGGTCACAAGCCAGGGATCAAACAGGAGAGGTCAGCAGAGGTCCGGATCAGGCAGGGTCAGCAACGAATCAGTCAGACAGGAACAGGGACAGGGACAGGACAGGGATGCAGGTAACAAGATACAGGGGCCAAGAAAAACACACACCAAGGCCCAGACTGCAGGTCTGGCCATCCCTTAAATACACCTGCATAATCAGCTTCAGGTGTTTGGCTGGCTGCAGGGTTGAGTCTCTGATTGCTGAGAGCACCCGCTGGCCAGCCCTGGTACTGCAGCCCACAAGGCAGGTGAGTCCCACCATTACTGGCAAGTCCATTCCTGACAGTACCCCCCCCTCAAAGGAGCGGCCTGAGGACGCTCCAAACAGTCCTAGCTGGGCAAAATGTTCCACCGCCCTGGTCTGGTAACTGGCGGGATATCAAAGACTGGCACATCGGGCTGGACTCCGGGCAGCGGCACATCGGGCTGGACTCCGGGCAGCGGCACATCGGGCTGGACTCCGGGCAGCGGCACATCGGGCTGGACTCCGGGCAGCGGCACATCGGGCAGGACTCCGGCAGCGGCACATCGGGCAGGACTCCGGGCAGCGGCACATCGGGCTGGACACCGGATCACCAGGCGGAGCAGCAGGCACCGGGCCACCAGGCAGCGGAGCAGCAGGCATCGGGCCACCAGGCGGAGCGACAGGCATTGGGCCCCCAGGCGGAGCGACAGGCACCGGGCCCCCAGGAGGGGCAACAGGCATCGGGCCCCCAGGAGGGGCAACAGGCATCGGGCCCCCAGGCGGAGCAGCAGGCACCGGGCCCCCCAGGCAGAGCGGCGGGCGGCGGGCTCCCCGGCGGAGAAGCAGGCACCGGGCCACCAGGCGGAGCGACAGGCATCAGGCCCCCAGGCGGGGCGGCGGGCGCCGGGCCCCCAAGTGGGGCGACAGGCATCGGGCCCCCAGGCGGGGCGACAACCATCGAGCCCCCAGGCGGGCGGCGGGCGCCGGGCCCCCAGGCAGAGCGGCGGGCGCCGGGCCCTCAGGCAGAGAGGCGGGCACCGGGCCCCCAGGAGGGGTGGCAGGCACCGGGCCCCCAAGTGGAGCGACAGGTATCGGGCCCCCAGGCGGGGCGACGGGCGCCGGGCCCCCAGGCAGGGCGCCGGGCCCTCAGGCGGGGCGGCAGGCACCGGGCCCCCAGGAGGGGCGGCAGGCACCGGGCTCCCAGGAGGAGCGACGGGCGCCGGGCCCCCAGGCGGAGCGGCGGGCGCCGGACCCCCAGGAGGGACGGCAGGCACCGGGCCCCCAGGCGGAGCGGCGGGCACCGGGTCATCAGGCACGACAACAGGCATGGGGTCACCAGGCATCAGGTCATTTGGCTCGCCAGCGGGCACTGCGTCATCTGGCAAGGCAGTGGGCACCGAGTCACCAGGCACGACAGTGGGTTCCGAGTCAACTGGCATGACCACGGGCACTGGGTCAGATATTGGATCGTCTGGCTCGACAGCGGGCATCGGGTCACCAGGCATCAGGTCATTTGGCTCGACAGCAGGCACCACGTCATCTGGCAAGGCAGTGGGCACCGAGTCACCAGGCACGACAGTGGGCTCTGAGTCAATTGGCACGACAGCGGGCACCGGGTCATCAGGTACCGGATTGTCTGGATCGACAGCGGGCACCGGGTCATCTGGCGTTGGATCGTCTGGCTCGACAGCGGGCATCGGGTCACCAGGCATGACAGCGGGCACTGGGTCACCAGGCATCAGGTCATTTGGCTCGCCAGCGGGCACCGCGTCATCTGGCAAGGCAGTGGGCACCGAGTCACCAGGCACGACAGTGGGCTCCGAGTCAACTGGCATGACCGCAGGCACTGGGTCAGACATTGGATCATCTGGCCCGGCAGCGGGCATCGGGTCACCAGGCATGACAGCGGGCACTGGGTCATCAGGCATTGGATCGTCTGGCTCGACAGCGGGCATCGGGTCACCAGGCATGACAGCGGGCACCGGGTCATCAGGTACCGGATCGTCTGGATCGACAGCGGGCACCGGGTCATCTGGCGTTGGATCGTCTGGCTCGACAGCGGGCATCGGGTCACCAGGCATGACAGCGGGCACTGGGTCATCAGGTACCGGATCGTCTGGATCGACAGCGGGCATCGAGTCAACTGGCCTAATAGGATCATCAGGCTGGATCAGTTCATCAGGCTGGGTAGAGACATCAGGCTGAATGGAGGCATCAGGCTGAATAGAGGCATCAGGCTGAATGGAGGCATCGGGCTGAATGGAGGCATCAGGTTGGGTAGAGGCATCAGGCTGGGTAAAGACATCAGGCTGAATTGTGTGGGCGCCGAGGCACCAGGCTGCACCACGGAAGACAGGTTCTCAGATGGGAGGCTGACCGGTTTGGATACTGGCAGGATGGTATTGGTTGGAAAGAACTTTCGCCTTTTCCTGGTTTTTAGTTACCGGAGCACTGTAAGTAAGCGCAGGTTTGTAAATGGATGGAGCAGCTGGAGACAGAGAAGAGCTGGAGGATGGAACAGGGGAGGGAACAGTTGCTACAGAGGGCTTCTTTACAGGGTTAAAGGCAGGATAGGTGCAGCGAGTGGGAACAGGGTACTGACATGCGGTAGATAGCAGGGTATACTGGGCTGTAACTGGAGGTGCTGTTGGGAATGCAGGAATAGAGCTTTGAAGAAATAGATTAGAAGCAGGACTGGGTTTTTTCAAGCTGACTGAGGCTGGGTGCAACAAGTCTGACCATGTCTGCAGTATGGGTTGAACAAAGTTCAGCTTACACAAAGCCTGTCTGACCAAAGACTGCACTGCGTTTATACAATCCCTTAATACCTGTGGTGAACATGCAGCATAATGTTCCAAGAAGCAATCCACATCATCCTCTAAATAACCATACCAGGGACTCTACCTGGTCTGCACTAAATGGTGGCAAAAAGTCATTCCTGCTTTCAGGGGTACCAGATAAAGCCAACTCTACACAAACCTGAATCAAAGGTTGTACCTCAGAGAACTCTGTGCCTTGATCTACTAGAACATGAGCGATCCGTATACATTCTAGCAGTTGATCCCGGGTATACTCCCTCAGAGCCTGATAAGCATATTCTCTGTCATCAAAAACCAGCAGCGACAAATACACAAACTCATCAAGATCCATCCTTCCCAGCAACAAGCCAAGATGGCTTCCCTGTGCAGCCACTTCTGGTCAGGATTGGCCTTGGTGTAATGTCAGGGCTCCAGGGTGTGACCAGAGGTATGTGAACTGACGCAGGGAAACGCAGGCTTCAGATATGTTATAAACAATATAATTTATTAACACTAACAATACATAAACGCAGTGCAATACTAAAACATAACACAGTGCAAACGAACCAAACCAAAACCACCCACAGATAACAATACATACAATGCAAGCGTCGTCAGGCAGGCCGGGTCAATAACAATCGGGCAGGTAGGAACAGGAGGAGCAGACAGAGAGTAGTCAGGTCACGAGCCGGGTACAGCAACTAACGGGCAGGTAGGTACAGGGGGTCAGGCAGAGAATAGTCGGGGTCACAAGCCAGGGATCAAACAGGAGAAGTCAGCAGAGGTCCGGATCAGGCAGGGTCAGCAACGAATCAGTCAGACAGGAACAGGGACAGGGACAGGGACAGGGACAGGGATGCAGGTAACAAGATACAGGGGCCAAGAAAAACACACACCAAGGCCCAGACTGCAGGTCTGGCCATCCCTTAAATACACCTGCATAATCAGCTTCAGGTGTTTGGCTGGCTGCAGGGTTGAGTCTCTGATTGCTGAGAGCACCCGCTGGCCAGCCCTGGTACTGCAGCCCACAAGGCAGGTGAGTCCCACCATTACTGGCAAGTCCATTCCTGACAACAGGAGATGACCAGAGACTGCGGACACAGTACAGGAGATGACCAGAGACTGCAGATATAGTACAGGAGATGACCAGAGACCGCAGACAGTAAAGGAGATTACCAGAGACTGCGGACCTTTGGGGAGGGGGAACGGGTACCTGAATTTGACAGGTACCTGGCTCCCACTTCCGCGGAGTTGTCTTTCCTTCTTCTTCCCGTGGCGGATTCTGTGACAGCCAGGTGCCCACTGCGCATGAGCGAGAAGCGCTGCACTTTGTGAATGGCCCGGAGCCTTCTGGAACCTGTCATGTGTCCCAGAAGACACCGGACCATTCACAAAACACGGCTCTTCTCGCGCATTCGCAATGGGCACCCGGCTGTCACAGAAGCCGCCGCGGGAAGACTGCAGCGCTGGAGCGAGGAACAGGTAAGGTCTTGCAGGAGAGAAGAGCTGAGCGGCCGGCCCGATATTCTGACATGGTGGCGAAATACCAGACCGATCGGTTTACATTCGCTCCATAAGACGCACTGACATTTTCCCTCCTTTTTTGGGGGGAAAAAAAGTGCGTCTTATGGAGCGAAAAATACGGTAATTTTGCAATGACCCTTAGTTTAAAATTATTAATGGGAGTTAAATCACTTCTGTGATTTACCTCCCTCTTCATTGTTGACTTATCTGCCTGGCTTCCCATCTTCACTCTTGGAGGCTTTAACATCCCTGTTAATGCTAAAGTCCCCACTACCTCTAAGTTCTCAACCTAAACACATCTTTTTACAAATCACAATGGACATTTACTACTATCACTCTGATGCCAACATCCCTGGCCTTGCATTCTCCTGCCTCTGCACTCCTTGCAACCTCTGCAACACCTCTTTTCCTGTCTTTTCAATTTTACACTCTCTGTCTTAAACCCGCTATCCAACCAACCTGCAGTTACCTGTAAGGACCTTCACCACTTTAAAGTGCTTTGAAAGGCTAAACATGTTTTACATAATGCATTCTCTGCTAGACAGGAGCATGCTAAAAATGTTCAGTTTGTCTCAGATGCATACGTTCATTGAAGAATTTTGTTTCGTCATATTCGTTATGTTGAATACGACATACTCGTTTCATATCATCGGCATTCGTTTCATAAATTTGTTGGTCCATGTGGATTTGAAATATTTTGCAGTTTTTCAGAAAGATTGCTATATTTTCAATATAATTATTGAATTGGAAGGATTCAATATTTTCGAATGCTAGTCCAACCCACCAAGAGAAATGGCATGAGCTGATTGTACAATAATGACAAATTAAAGAATGAATAGAAATTCTGATCTTTTTGTTATCCAAATGCAAATTATTGAACAAATTTGAAAATTGAATTAATTTCCCCATGGGCCTGAAATACTATTGCATTATGTGATGCCATTCGAATGAAACCAACGTATTTGTTAACTTTGCTATAACTTTTTTTTTTTTATTCCTTGACATTTGTTACTATGTCCATTCAGAGATCTGCATACATCTCAATCTCCAAAGATACCAAACCTCCAAACAAGGAGCCAATAACCATTATATGCAGGTGGGACAATGTAATCCATTAGGCTCCATTCACACTGGGTGTTTTAATAACGCTGGTAGTGAAAATAAAATAAATAAGGTATTGCGCTCACAACACTTCCATCTGTGCATATACACAAAGAAATGTGTAATATTGAACACTAATGACCATATTTGTAAATCTTATGGAATCATTTAAATGAACAATATGCAATGAACAATATACATGAAACCGTGAAGAAATAATCTAATAAATGAAAATAAAAAATATATGAATCTGTGTAGTAATAATATCCCACAGTAACAGTGACTTTGTGCTGAAGAATCTTCAATATTATCAAATAAAACAATATATATGATTCTGTATAATAATAATGTCCCACACGAACAGTGAATTTGTGCTGATGAATCTTCAATATATATAAAAAAAGGTGACTGCTTGTGCCTCCTCCCTTAAGTGAAGATATGCGCTCACCTCATGAATAGCCTGCAATTAGGCTATTAACGCTTGCGGTTCACCTCCTTTGGAACCTACTAGTTTTAGAAACTCCTGTGTGAAAGATATCCATAGACTGCGACATGTGATGTGAAAAAAGATCTCCTCTCATGGGGTATCACTCCAGTATCTTCCTGACTCCTTGCGATTCTGTCTCCTGGAAATTCCTATTTATACCTGACACCACTTCCTATCTTTAAAGATAGGAAAGATATTGGTAAAGATAGGAAGTGGTGTCAGGTATAAATAGGAATTTCCAGGAGACAGAATCGCAAGGAGTCAGGAAGATACTGGAGTGATACCCCATGAGAGGAGATCTTTTTTCACATCACATGTCGCAGTCTATGGATATCTTTCACACAGGAGTTTCTAAAACTAGTAGGTTCCAAAGGAGGTGAACCGCAAGCGTTAATAGCCTAATTGCAGGCTATTCATGAGGTGAGCGCATATCTTCACTTAAGGGAGGAGGCACAAGCAGTCACCTTTTTTTATATATATTGAAGATTCATCAGCACAAATTCACTGTTCGTGTGGGACATTATTATTATACAGAATCATATATATTGTTTTATTTGATAATATTGAAGATTCTTCAGCACAAAGTCACTGTTACTGTGGGATATTATTACTACACAGATTCATATATTTTTTATTTTCATTTATTAGATTATTTCTTCACGGTTTCATGTATATTGTTCATTGCATATTGTTCATTTAAATGATTCCATAAGATTTACAAATATGGTCATTAGTGTTCAATATTACACATTTCTTTGTGTATATGCACAGATGGAAGTGTTGTGAGCGCAATACCTTATTTATTTTATTTTCACGGTTTTCACATTGGTAGTTATGTGTTAAAGGTGTGCGATCCAACAACAGGAATTTTTATATTGGGCTCGCAAGATTCTTTTCAAATATTTAATAACGCTGGTAGTGTTAGCTGTGTAAAGTCACGTAAAAAACATGAGTTTTTCAGCTTTTTTTTAGCATTTTCGCATTAGCATTTTTGCATTAGCATTTAGAGGCGTTTTTTGGTTTAAAAAAAAGTCCAAAAATGCCAGGTTACCACAATTAACTGCATTTTGCCGTGTTATTTGGCGTTAGAGCATTTTTACAGCTAAAAAAACTCCTCTAGAAACCCACTAGTCCTGGGGTTTTTTTCCAGCCAAAAAACGCTCCTGCCAAAAAAACGCTGATTACAGTCTATGTGTGCCTGAACACATAGGATAACATGCTGGGGGGTTTTACTGGCTGTAGAAAAAAAGTCAAAAGCCAAAAACAGCAGCTGTAAAAACGTCCAGTGTGCATGAGGACTAAATATAAAACAAGTATGAAGATCCACTTGTGTGCAGCACAAACGTTTCTCTCTGTTCAAGATTATGAAATCAAACACTGCTGTATTTCAAGCACTGTGTCCCTGAGATTTGGCCTTCTCCAAAATAGCTGTCAAAGCCTAGAATGAAAGACACTTTTAGGATGATCACATGGTTGCCAGCACATCATCCTGTAATGCACATGATTATACAGAATAGCAGAGAGGAACAGCAGCATTGTTAGTAAATAGGAGTACTAGTGAAGACTAGTGCCTAGGACTGCCTGTTCTCAGGGGAACAATTTGTGGAACAATTTGTGGCCCAGACTGCAAAGGCTTTTCCAATTGTACTGTTCCCCAACTTATAAGTAATGATGATAAGCAGTGGCTTCCAGCACTCTCTTGTGAGTGTAAAAGCTGTCAAAATGTTCTCTGTAGGCAACACATGATCCAAAATATTTATGCGCTGTTCTGTTTGTGGAGCAGAGTGTTATTTGGGAATGATACTTTGGAAAGAAGGCCCCCCTTGGAGTGGTGGTCAGTGGGACGAATGCCCCTCTTAAAGTGCTGGTCAGTTAGAAGAATTCCCCCCATAGAGTGGTGGTCAGTTGGAAGACTTCCCCCCACAGAGTGGTGGTCAGTTGGAAGAATGCCCCTTATGTTGGTGATCAATGGAAAGAATGCCCTCATTAAAGTGGTGGTTGGTGGGCTTAATATCCTTTATACTGATTGTCAGTGGAAAGAATGTCCCTTATATTGGTGGTCAGTGGGAAGAATGTCCCTTGTATTGGAGGACAGTGGGAAGAATGCATCCTAAATTGGTGGTCAATGGAAAGAAAACTCCTTATGGTAAGTTGGAAGAAAGCCACCCTTCCCCTTTATTGGTGGTTGTTGAGAAGAATGCCACTTATATTGGTGGTCAATGGGAAGAATGTCCCTTGCATTGGATGACAATGGGAATAATGCATCTTAAATTGGTGGTCAGTGTGAGGAAAACTCCTTACATTCATAGGCATTAGGAAGAAAGCCCCCCCCCCCCCTTATATTGCCAAAAGGAGACCCATTTTACCAATAGGAGAACATGATGGATCGAACAATCCCATTATGACAATCTGAACATGTAAAAACAATAGCCAGCTACAGAGATATATCAATGCTTTAGTTACTTGATCAATACATTACAAAGAGATTGAGTATGTTTATTATACAATCTATCACTGTCCAGGTTCTTAGGAGTCAATGTAATATCTACTCTACTGTATATTTTTCACAAATTAAAACCATAAAAATGCCAAAAGTGTATGTCGGACATGAGCCTTACAGATAATGCATACAATGTATCATTTTATTTACTTTAAACTGCTGTGCGTTAATATTTGTGTTGTACTTTACTACTTTCAAACCATTCAGTGTTTATTTGACTGCACATTGCTTGGTAAATTATGTGATCACTCATGAAATTTCCCATCACTGCATAAAAAAAGCCTACATTCAGTATAAGGAGTGAGACCACTATGACAACCTCTAGCAGGTAGACTGTACCACGAACGTGTCAGGCAATGGAAGATATGAGTGGTGCTCAGCCTCCTCATATCTACTCAAAATTAAAATGTCTAAAATTATTGTTGTAAGTTACATTTACTCTAATGAACTGATGTTGATGCTTTGCAGTGTGTTTTGAATAGTGAATTTTGTATATGTGGATCAACAAATTTTCTATTCAAACCAATTAAAACTTTTGATACCATATTAAAGGACCACTGCCAAAAATAATTTTGATAATGTTAGGTCATCCAAGGATGAGAGTATTCAGTATGAGAATTCCCTTTTTAATGTCCCATGCCTTTATTTATAATGTTTCCATATTTACATGCAGACCAAGCTGTCTGTTGCAGGAACAGTTTGTTTTTTGATTGGGAATAAAGGGGCTTCGTATAATCAATTCTATAAGATCCCATACAGTTATTAGGATACAGTAGGATACAGTATTTTATACAGTGGTCTTATAATGCATTTGAAAATTAAATAAATGTATGCTTTAGATTCTCACTTGCATCTGGTGTGAAGATGTTTTAGCCCAATCCAGCTATCTGATAAATTCAAAAATTTCCCAACATCTGCATTTATTTGTTTCAGGTACCTATATATCACCAATATTTTACACAACGCTTTACATGTACAGTATGTATATTGTACATTCACATCAGTCCCTGCCCCAAGGAACTTACAATTTAAGGTCCCTAACTCACATTCATACATACACATACATACTAGGGCCAATTTAGACTGAAGCCAATTAACCTACCAGCACGTCTTTGGAGTGTGGAAGGAAACCCACGCAGGCACAGGGAGAACATACAAACTCCAGGAGGGTTGTGCTGTGGTTAAGTTTTGAACTGACAACCCTAGTGCTGATAGGCACAGTGGCATCGCTATGGGGGTGCGGACTGCACCCAAGTGACAACCGCCAGAGAGCTGACACCAGGGTTGCTGACCGTCCGTAAAAAATATGGCAATTCCAAAGTCGTCTGGGTTCGGACATGCTCGACCATTTTTGGTAGGCTGGGCGTGTCAGTGAGTCAGTGGCGCCATGTTTAAATGAATGGCAGCAGCAGTGTTCGTGCACTTGGGCAATGCCTGTGGACAGTAGGGGGCCTAACATCCCGCAGAACCGAGCTGGAGTCTCTACTAATTCACCTCCCACAAGCTCTCTACTCCTGGCACCTGACCCTTCACAGCACGGAGCAGCCGGTACCAGCGATGTCCCAATCACACAGTGAGGGTTATTTCTTAGAAAGGAGTGCCAGGGGAGGTGAGGAGACCATGAAGGAGCCTTCAGGATGGAGGGGTGGGGTGCGTGTGTTCAGCTGTCCATGTGTGTATGTACATGTCTACTGCCTGTGTGTAAGCTACACTGAGACAACACTGGCTGCATGCTAAGGGACCACTCAACTACTGTATACACAGCATGTCACAGCACACAGGATCCCTGATAGAGCGACAGTCCCTGACCTGGAGACCAGTCCCTCTCCTACACCCACCCACTACAGTCTCTGATCCTTTCCTGTAGTATGTCTGCAGTCTCTGACCATCTCCTGTACTATGTCTGCTGTCTCTGACCATCTCCTGTACTATGTCGGCAATCTCTGACCATCTCCTGTAGTATGTCTGCAGTCTCTGACCCTCTCCTGTAGTCAGTGGTGTATTTAGTCCCTCTCCTCTCTCCTTCACCCCCACCCACTACAGTCTCTGATCCTTTCCTGTAGTATGTCTGCAGTCTCTGACCATCTCCTGTACTATGTCTGCTGTCTCCGACCATCTCCTGTACTATGTCGGCAATCTCTGACCATCTCCTGTAGTATGTCTGCAGTCTCTGACCCTCTCCTGTAGTCAGTGGTGTATTTAGATTTTGTGCTGCCCTAGGCAAACCAAAAATGTTGTGACCCCCCCCCCCCCAATGAGAAAGCGAGAGAGTTCAATAAGTGTGTATATTGTGGCAGTGCGGTGTCCTGCCACGGTCAAAATAAAGCTGAAAACCCTGGATTCTCAACCAGGCAGGTTGAGGGGCTCCAGAGAGTTTATGTATTGCAGAGGAAACTGACTTTTCCGTTTCCTCATTTATTCATTAAGTTTGTTTTGGGATCTGGAGCCTGGAGATTTCAAAGAGATCTGGGAGGGATGAAATCTCCAATCCGGGGTCGTGTTTTGAGAACCCCCAGCACACTGATTGCACAGGTGTGTGCAGGCCTCTTCATAGAGTCAGGATCAGGGTTCTGGGCTCCACCCCGGCAAACGGAGTCAAGAGGGCTCCACCCTGGCAGACGGGAGGTCTCTGCCTTGGAGTCAGGTGGAAGCCAGACTAGCTGTGTGCTAGTGGCCATAATTTGGGAAGAGTCTGCAGGAGACAGACAATGAACTGTGTACAAGCCAGGAGGCTGAATACTGTTGGTATTGCTTGATGGTGGATACCCCTGCGTGGGAAGCATTTGTGTTATTTGAACTTTCTTTAAATAAAAGTGGGCAAAAAAGCCCTTAAAGAAGCGAGTTGCTGTGTGCTTAACAAGAAGAGCTCTACCATTTGAAGCGAGTTCCCACAACATATATATATAATATATATATATATATATATATATATATATATATAATAAAATATAATTCTCACACTCTCTCTCCCTTTTCTCTCTCTCTCTCCCCTCTCCCCCTCTTCCCGCTCTCTCTCTTCTCTCTATCCCCTCTCTTCTCTCTCTCTCCCCCCCCCCCCTCTTCCCTCTCTTCTCTCTCCCCCCCTCTCTTCCCTCTCTCTCTTTCTCTCTTCCTTCTCCCCCCTCTCTCCTCTCTCTCTCTGCCCCCTCTTCCCTCTCTCTCTGCCTTCTCTCTCTCTTCCCTCTCTCTCCCCCCTCTCTTTCTTCCCTCTCTCTCTCTTCCCTCTCCCCCTCTCTCTCTCTCTCTCTCTCTCGCCCCCCCCTCTTCCCTCTCTCTCTCTCTCTCTGTCTCTCTCTCTTCCCTCTCTCTCTTCTCTTTCTCTTCCCTCATTCTCTCTCTCTTCCCTCTCTCTCTCAGACCGTGAGGGACTGTATACACACAGTATGATTACCCCCCCCCCCCCTCCTCCATGGGCTTCTGATCTCCGGGCAGCAGGAAATGAGGACAGGGGGGTGGTAATCATACTGTGTGCAGTCCCATATGATCTGTCAGTGATTGTGTATCATGTGCTGCATGGGGGACAGGAGGGAGAGCCCAGAGAACACAACACACAGCTCACCTCCTCCCGGCTCTTTTCTCTCCACCACCTCTCCTTGCTCCAGGCTGTCCCCTGGTCCTGGATCTGAGTGCGGGTGGGGGAAGGAGCTCAGCAGAGAGCGGCCACTCAGGAACACCAGGGCATCCCCTCTATCCGGCCAGGCCTGTATCTCCCTCCAGCAGCAGAAAGTCGGCGAGAGGGAGAAATCTCAAACCGACTTTCAGCTGCTGGAGGGAGAGATACACAGGGCAACTCCTTCTGCAACTGCTCTCCCCCCCTAAAAAAACTGCCAATCTAGGCAAACGCCTTGTTTTCCTCTTGGTAGATACGCCCCTACCTGTAGTATGTCTGCAGTCTCTGACTCTCTCCTGTAGTATGTTTGCAGTCTCTGACCCTCTCCTGTAGTATGTCTGCAGTCTGATCATCTTCTGTATCATGTCTGCAGTCAAGGAAAGACAGTGGCAGAGCTGTCAACATAGCTGGTATACTACTAGGAAGCAGCGTTGTGGATAGACGTTGTCTGAGAATAGGGGGGAATGATGCAGAATATTGACTGATCTGTGGGCAAACATGATTTAATTTAAATATATTCCTTAGCAGCCAATATTGTGCACCAATACCCAATTTTTGCTCTGTAAAAGTAGTAGTGTCATCATCCTTGTGCTGCTTTTTGCACACACAGTGCAGTGTAGTTTGTAGTCATGTGTTATGGTGCGCTATAAAGCTGGAACGTCAGAGGTATGTTTCTTTAGAATGTTAGGGTGTCATCAACACAAGGCTCTGAAATGTCATTCGCTAAGCCGATGATCAGTTCATGGCCAAAAAACAGTGCCTGGTGTGACGGGCGCGGCGTCAGACCCCCAGCCCTTCTCACCAAACTTGTGACCGAAGGACTAGCCAATCTAAACCCGTGATGTCACGTGCTTAACAATGCCGCACCCAGCTGCACCCTGCACACCAATTTTCCAGCTAATTGGACCACAATCGATGTACTGGCAGCCTGAATGCGATTGTTACTTGGTCAGGTTAATTACACAATTAACCCTTCACACTGCCACCACCTCCTTTTTATACAGAGAAAGAGGAAACTCAGCAATACACTAGGATGATTGGTTAACCATCAGTATCCCGCTATCTCTACAGACTGGTTATACAGAGGGTTAAACACTCATAGTAGCGCTCTTCAGTGGCAGGTATTCGTAAGTCACATTAAAGAACTATAGCAACAGTTCAACGCTTTCAGAAAGTAAGGTCTATTACTAAAAGGTCAAAAGGGTGCAGTAGAAATATTTACAGAAAAAGATATAACCTATATATATAAATATACAGAGCAAACAGCACAGCAAACAGATAACAGAAAGAAGTTTAGGTAAATAAGTACTTGCTCACAAAGATGCCTGGGGTTAAGCAGTTTCAAGTCTGATGAACTAAAAAGGGATTTTCGGTCTCGCACTCAGCTTCGTTGGTACAGCGCGATTCCCCTTTCTCTCGGTCTGCTAGATGTTAAAACGCAGACGGTCCGCACTACTCTGACTACACACAAAGCATAACAGCTTCTTTTCTACAAAAATCAATTGGTATCTTCTTACAACAGACAAGCCTATTGCCTTATTTGGGAAAAGGATGGTATAGACAGCTACACTGAACGCATTCCTGAGGGAGTGGGAATGAGGGGATACATGAAGACTTCTTAATACAGTGAGAGCCGTGCCTGGCTCTTGTATGCACAATTACTACACCTTCCCCCCCCCCCCCCTCAGGTGATGGCATATGAGTTTAAGAGCAATACCAAAATGTAGAAGTTTGGAGTAAAATGGAGAACCGCACCTCTCCCTGTGGGCATGATTGTGACATCCGGGACCTGCTGATCTGCTTGTGCTGTAGCAGATGACAGCACAGAAGGGGCTGCACTGCAGATGTGCCCCCTACCTGGAAATGCCATGTCACGCACATGTTCGTGATCTGGCAAAGATGGGCAGCTCTGCAGCAGTACAACTGCTGTAGGCAGTCTGCAAGTAAATAGACATGAAACCTGTTGATTTGGACCTACATGGGTAGAGCACAGGCACACTCTAAGGTGATGACAGACATAAGAGGACATTTGCAGTCATCCTGGGGATCATTTATATGTGTATAGGTACACCCCTGATGCCTCCTACCTGAGCCAAATCATCTAGACTGAATTTTCCCCACTCTATCAATGTAATTCTTTCCTGGAATAACCGTCACCTGCCAAGCAATTCCATCTCCATAAGTCCAAAAATGTTGTTTAACCAAGTGCAAGTATGCATATTTAGAAGACCAACAATCACTAAAATAATTGTTCAGCAACAGATCATAGCCAGCCACATCTAAAGCAGCCTTTGTCAACATTTTACCTCAGGGGAAACCTTAAAATAATTTTCTGGTCTCAGGGAACCCCTGCTAAAATTAATCAATGGAAGGTCAGTGGGAAGAATGCCCCCTTACTTTGTTAGTCAGTGGAAAGAATTTCCTTCTTAGAATGGTGGTCAGTGGGTAGAATGCCTCTTACGTTGGTGGTCTGTTGGAAGAATGTCCTCACTGGAATGGTGGTCAGCGGGTAGAATGCTCCTTACATTCATGGTCAGTGAGAAGAATGCTGTCCTTAAAGTGGTGGTCAGTTGGAAGAATGCCCTCCCTTAGAGTGGTGGTCAGTGGGAAGATCGCCCCTTTCATTGGTGATCAATGGAAAGAATGCCGCCATGTTTGGAGGGTAACATGTCCCCTGGTGGTCAGTGAGAGGAATGCTTCTAAGATTGGTGTTCAGTTGGAAGAAACCCTCCTTATACTTGTGGTCAGCTGGAAAAATGTCCCTTATGTTGGTGGCTGGGGGATCCTTGGTTAGAATGCTGATTATATTGGTGGTCAGTGGGAAGAAAGCCCTTCCCTTATATTAGTGGTCAGTGGGAAGATTGCCCCTTATATTGGTGGTCAGTGGGTAAAATATCCCTTGCTTTGGTGGTCAGTGAGATGAATGATTCTTACATTGGTGTTCAGTGGAAAGAAACCCCCCTTCTATTTGTGGCCACCATTAAAAATGTACCTTAAGTCAGTGGCCCATGGATCCTTGGGAAGAATGCTCCTTATATCGGTGGTCAGCGAGAAGAATGGCCCTTATATTGATGGTCAGTGGGAATAATGCTCCTTCTATTGGTAGTCAGTAGGAAGAATGCCCCTTACATTGGTGGTCATTGAGAAGAATGCTCCTTTTATTGGTAGTGGGAAGAATCCTCCTTACATTGGTGGTCAGTGAGAAGAATGCTCCTTCTATTGGTTGTCAGTGGGATGAATGCCCCTTACGTTGGTAGTCAGTGGAAAGAATGCCCCTTACATTGGTAGTCAGTGGGAAGAATGCTCCTTCTATTGGTAGTCAGTGGGAAAAATGCCCCTTACATTGGTGGTCAGTGAGAAGAATGCTCCTTCTATTGGTAGTCGGTGGGATGAATGCCCCTTACGTTGGTGGTTGATGGGAAAAATGGCCCTTATATTGATGGTCAGTGGGAAGAATGCTCCTTCTATTGGTAGTCAGTGGAAAGAATGCCCCTTACATTGATAGTCAGTGGGAAGAATGCTCCTTCTATTGGTAGTCAGTGGGAAGAATGCCCCTTACATTGGTAGTCAGTGGGAAGAATGCTCCTTCTATTGGTAGTCAGTGGAAAAAATGCCCCTTACATTGATGGTCAGTGAGAAGAATGCTCCTTCTATTGGTAGTCGGTGAGAAGAATGCCCCTTACGTTAGTGGTTGATGGGAAGAATGGCCCTTATATTGGTGTTCAGCAGAAAGAATTCCCCTCATATTGATGGTCAATGATAAGAATGCTTCTTACATTGGCGGTCAGTGGGAAGAAAGCCCCCTTATATTTGTGTTCAATGTGAAGACACCTCCCCCCCATATTGGTGGTCAGAGAGAAAAATGTCCCCTTTACAGTGGTGGCCAGAACATCACCCCCTAGGGTAGATTTAGACATACATCCTAACTTCCCCTTTCGTCTGAAGCCCAATCTGCATTCAGATCGTGCTTCAGAGGCTACTTACAGGCAGGGAGGAAGCATTATGACGCCTCCTCACTGCCTGTTTTAACCACGTTTTTCAACAAAAGCGTAGCAGGGTGCCATCTACTTGAGTGTGCAGTGTTTACTTTGCCAGCGTTCACATTATGACAGCGGCATGTAAAAACTCCTATCCACCTCCTATTGCAACTTAACCACTTCAGCCCCTGCAACACGCCCGTGCAGCTATAGGCATCATCCTGGTATCTTTTTTTTTCTTCCAGCCATGCACTTTTTTTGTAAAAGCGCTTAGAGGTTAATCATTTGCTGGATCGCTTTTACAGGCGGCTCAAAGAGGGTCCTCCCACAGCCTTTATGGGCTCTTTCATCCCTCTTTCTTTGGGTCTGAAGCCAGCAGTTCTACCAGCTTACCATAGAGATGATCAAGAGCCAGAATGTCCCTGATCATCACTATGGTATAGGAAAACGGAAGCAATTACTATTTTGTCACTTCTGGTTTCGCCAGGATGTAAACAAGCCATTGCTGGCATGTAAAAAGCATCTGATTATTTTTAATATTCAGGATTTATAAAGCGCCAACAGTTTGCTCAGCACTTTACAATATAAAGATAGACAATACAGCAACAATGCAGTGCAAGACAAGAGGGTTAGGAGGGCCCTGCTCCTGGGAGCTTACACTCTAAGAGGGAGGGGCTGGTGGTACTGTGTGGGGTGAACTGATAGGAGGAATAGTAGATTCTGTTGTTATTCGGTTTGATCAGATGCTTTTAAGAGCAGAGGAAAGAGCTAGGGTCTAGTAGACTCCAGACGTTTCAGTAAAGAGAAACTGTCCCTGCCCATACTATCACAAGGGATATTGTTCATCCCTTGTGGTAGCAACACGTGAGGTATCACTGCTGTAATTATAGCGCCAGACCTCCTGTGTAACCTGTAAATAGTTACCTGTGCAGATTTATAAGTGTTGTAGTGTGACACCATTCCACAAATGGATATTATATTGTGTTTTTGTGCATTAAAATTAAAGTGAATTTTTTCCCCCAAAAAATGTGTTTGAAAAGCCACTGAAAACTAACAATACAATGCAGCATAAAACATTGCAACTTCCCTCATTTTCTTCTCTCATGTCTCTGCTTAAAAAAAAACGATATCGTGTTCGGGGTTCTAAGTAATGTTCTAGCCCCTCCCTAAACTGCAAGTCTAAATAAAGTCTTAGATAACAGCAAAAAGTTGGTGTCATGCAGTTGGCTCTGCCACGTTTGTTTTTGGACCTAGAACAAAGTTACTTAGCTGGGAGGTCAACTGCAGCTCAAGGAACCTCAGCAACCTGAGCATTGAGCATGGTTGAAGTAAATGTACAAGTATAGCCTTTCACAGCATGCTGGGAGATGTAGTCCCACAACACAGAAAGAAGAGCTCGGAGCAGAGTGACTCAGCACTTCCATGTGTGCTCTTCTGATGTGGGACTGTCGGAGCACACAGGGTTAAGGGAAGTAAGTGCTCCTCCCCGTCCAGTCACCCCGGGCAGCTCTCCTCTCCCCTCCTCTCTCCAGTCTGAAGCTGGGACGCTCCTTACCGCGGGGATGGCGAAGAGCTTTGTGGATTCTAAACTGAGAGCCGGCAAAGTCACCGTGTTCGAGAAGGTGTCGTGTCCGTTCTGTATCCGGGCGAAGAGCATCATACAGAAGTACGGAATTAAAGGAGACTGCCTGGAATTCATCAACATCGCCGTTATGGAGAACATGAGCAGCATCCAGGACTACCTGTTTGAGCTGAGCGGGCAGCGGACGGTGAGATGTCCACCTACCTACACACCTACCTCCCTCATACATCCCCAGCGCTGCCACCCTGGGCTTAGGGACCGGGGAATTTAAACTATGCATGTGGGATGTCCTGTGTATTCCAGATCTGGGCAATACATCCAGCATAGAACATCCCCTGGATATAGACCGGTCACTGCTGCTCTCTCTGCTTGTGCTGGGTGACCGGTCTTTTATCCCCCGTAGCTCCCATATACAAATAAATGCCAATACACTGCTGGATGTATTCAGTTTAGACATGTCACATATTACCAGAACTGATCAAACCTCAGAACTAGAACTGATTACACCTAATCTCGCCCCAGTACCCAGTTATTGTAAAGAGGTTAAAGAAGCCCATAGAGTAATTTTTTTTGATCAGCCAGTGGGTTGATCAAAAAATAAAAAAATTTACTCCATTCACACAAGCAAGGTGGATTGAGGACTCCCCCCTGCTGCACCATTTTATTCTGACAGCTGGGACTCCTCCACTGTTAGAATACACTGATCAGTGCTGCAGCCCATTGACTGCATGCTCTGATTGCTGAACCAGTGAACATTTTCCTGAAGTCTCATTTGAGAGAAGCCGACCATTCGACTAACTTCTCTGGAGCAGGAACAGCTATAGGTGGAGCGAAAATCATCAGGTCTTTGCTGAACCAACCAGTTTGCGATGAATATATGGCTTAAATTGATATTTAAAATGTTTTTTTTTTTTCTAATAACAAACATGTCATATACCTGGTTTGTGTAATGGTTTTGCACAGAGGAGCCCTGATCCTGCTCTCCTTCTCTGGTCCCCCACCGCAGGGCCAGATCTAGCCTGTCTGATCTGGGGGTGCAGTATAAAAAAAAGGGGCATAATATCAGCACTGTATGTTATTCACTGACAGTCCGTCACAAAATCTCATGACCTCCGAAACACTTATGTTTTAGGTTTTCATTAGATTATGATGATTAAACAAAACCTGTTCCCACTTATATCAGATGTCTTTATCAGACCCAATCAGAGTGCCCCCCTTACATCAGGGTTCCCATCAGAGTGCCCCCCTTACATCAGGGTTCCCATCAGAGTGCCCCCCCCATCAGAGTGCCCCCCTTACATCAGGGTTCCCATCAGAGTGCCCCCCTTACATCAGGGTTCCCATCAGAGTGCCCCCCTTACATCAGGGTTCCCATCAGAGTGCCCCCCTTACATCAATTATCTTCATATGATTTGTTATCCTCATCAGAGTGCCCCCCCCCCCCCCGTAATCAGGTGTCGCCATCAAGTGCCTCCCCCGTAATCAGGTGTCGCCATCAGAGTGCCCCCCCGTAATCAGGTGTCGCCATCAGAGTGCCCCCCCGTAATCAGGTGTCGCCATCAGAGTGCCCCCCCGTAATCAGGTGTCGCCATCAGAGTGCCCCCCCGTAATCAGGTGTCGCCATCAGAGTGCCCCCCCCCGTAATCAGGTGTCGCCATCAGAGTGCCCCCCCGTAATCAGGTGTCGCCATCAGAGTGCCCCCCCGTAATCAGGTGTCGCCATCAGAGTGCCCCCCCGTAATCAGGTGTCGCCATCAGAGTGCCCCCCCTCCCCCGTACATCAGGTGTCGCCATCAGAGTGCCCCCCCCTCCCCCGTACATCAGGTGTCGCCATCAGAGTGCCCCCCCCTCCCCCGTACATCAGGTGTCGCCATCAGAGTGCCCCCCCCCCTCCCCCGTACTTCAGGTGTCGCCATCAGAGTGCCCCCCCTCCCCCGTACTTCAGGTGTCGCCATCAGAGTGCCCCCCCGTACATCAGGTGTCGCCATCAGAGTGCCCGCCGTACATCAGGTGTCGCCATCAGAGTGGCCCCCCCGTACATCAGGTGTCGCCATCAGAGTGGCCGCTTACATCTGGTGGCCCCTTACATCTGGTGTCCCCATCAGAGTGGCCCCTTACATCTGGTGTCCCCATCATTGTTCCACCTTACATCTAGTGTTCTTATCCGAGTGCCCCCTTACATGGATTGTCAGAGTTCCACCTTACATCAACTGTCTGCACCAGACTGGCTCATGGATCAGTAGATACACTCTCAGAGACCTGGGGGAGGGGGGGGCACAGCTAAAATCTGGTGGGGTACAGCCCACCCCATCACTGGCCCTGCCTCACTGCTACTCTGGGCTCCTCCCCCTGCTTATCCTCCTCCTCTTAGGTCCCTTGCCAGCACTTTGGGCTCCTCCACCCTGCCAAGTGCCCCAAGAGCAAGTGGCTTACTCCTGACCCCTGCTGTGTGGTTCCATAAGACACACAGTCTCAGTCTTGCCCCTGCTCCCTCCTCACTGACTGTGATTAACAGCAGCGGGAGCCAATGGCATAGAGCAGGGACAGCAGCTGCTTTCATGCATATCACTGGATCAGAATCTGGTATTATGGGGACTGTGGGGCGAGCTGCATACCTGTTGAACCAGCCAGATTTTGATCCCTTTGCAATCCGAACATACAATCTATGTATTTAAATTTACCAAAACTATGTAATACAAATTCAAACCTAAACTATCCATTTAAGCAAGGACCTGTGCTACATAACTGTTGGTAGATCCAAAGTAAATCTGCAATTAAAGTGCTACTAAAATAAAAAAAAAAAAAAATAAAACAGTAAATTATTAAAATAACATGTTTTACTCACTGGAGCCCGATCCTCCTCTTCTTCTCTTCTTGGGTCCCTGGCAGAAATCTTGGCTCCTCCTCTTCTTTGTGTGTCCCCATAGAAAGCAATCTGCTATGGAGGCACACAGTGTCTGCTTGCTCCTGAGCTGTGTGTCTGTGGAGCTGCACTCCATTGACTTAGAGCGGGACTTAGCCCCGCCCCCACTTCCTCACTGCATTTGATTGACAGCAGCAGGAGCCAATGACTCCTGCTGCTGTTCGAGTCCTGTGTGAAGAGGAAGAGAGGGGAGAATAGATGCAGCTGTGCACAGCGCTGGATCTCCTCTCCCCTTTCTTCCCCATTCCCACAGGGAAGGGGGAGGACAGAGGAAAAGAAATGCATTAAGGTAAAAAAACATTTTTAGCTTTAGTATCACTTTAACTATGTAGTGAAAGGGCCTTCCTAATTGTGTCTCATTTTTAAGGATCGTTTAGGTTTGTCCTCACATTCTATAGTTTTGGTAAATCTAATGGTGGCCATATACGCTTCAATGAATTATTAATTTCTTTTTGGATTTATCTCACTCAATAGGATTAAATCGATCTGTGGTCAGCAATTCATTTGATCGATATGCCACACCCAGGGAAGTAAATTTCGATCGACAGCTAAGAAACAGTCATAACTTACGATTGTAAATGATCCATTGCATCCCTGCTTCTAATGTGCAATTTTATAATCTGATCTATCAAAATACAATCACATTCATGAACAAAGTAATTTAGGTGCTGCTGCTCACTGCAAAATGATCAGTAATATTCCTCCCTGACCAGACTACTCAGTTCAGTTAAATCCAAATCCATCAGAAGGGAAGTTGTGGCTAGTCATTTGTCTGTGGATTTGATGATTTTGATTAAATCACACATTGGTTGTATGGAAAAAAAAAATCAAAGCTTGTGTGGTTGCCATTAAGGAGACTGTACAATCAGATTGTACAGTGTATGGCAAGTGTTAATAAAGCTGGAGAGTGCAAAATCTGATGCAGCTGTACATGGTAGCCAATCAGATTCTAACTTCAACTTGTTCAATAACGGTTTGACAATAAAATGTGGGAGCTGATTGGTTTCTATGTAGAGCTGCACCAGATTTTGCACCCTGCAGTTTTAGTAAACCAACCCTCTAGTTACCTTCTTTCATCAGCAAAGTTTGAACTTCTGCTCTCAAAATGAATATTGTGTTCTGTGAAATCAGATAAAAGGTCAGCCAGTTAGTTTTGAAATGTTGAGGTTTCCTCTTTCTGAGTGTAGACAGTAAACAGGCTGCTATGTTCACTCGCTCTAATATGCCTCACACCAGTTTTACTCAACTTGATATACATTGCTCAAAAAAATTAAAGGGACACTTTGAAAACACATCAGATCTTAAAGGGGAAACATCTCATGCTGGCTATCTATACTGATATGGACTGGGTAATGTTTTAGGAACGTTAGGATGCCCCATCGTTTGATGGAAATAGAAATCATTAACCTACAGAGGACTGAATTCAAAGATGCCCCAAAAATCAGAGTGAAAAAATGATGCAGCAGGCAAGTCCATTTTTCTGAAATTCATTGCAGCAACTCAAAATGGTACTTAGGAGTTTGTATGGCCCCCACGTGCTTGTATGCATGTTGACAACATCGGGGCATGCTCCTAATGAGATAACGGATGGTGTCCTGGGGTATTTCCTCCCAGATCTGGACCAGGGCGTCACTGAGCTCCTGGACAGTCTAAGATAAACCGAAACATAATATCCCTGAGGTGTTCTATTGGAATTAGGTCAGGCGAGCGTGGGGGACATTCAATGGTATCAATTCCTTCATCCACCAGGAACTGTTTGCATGCTCTTACCACATGAAGCCAGGCATTGTCGTGCATCAGGAGGAACCCAGGACGCACTGCACCAGCGTAGGATCTGACAATGGGTCCAAGGATTTCATCCCGATACCTAATGGCAGTCAGGTTGCCATTGTCTACCCTGTAGAGGTCTGTGTGTCCCTCCATTGATATGTCTCCCTAGATCATCACTGACCCACCACAAAAACAGTCATACTGAATGATGTTACAGGCAGCATAACGTTCTCCACGGCTTCTCCAAAACCTTTCATGTCTGTCACATGTGCTCAGGGTGAACCTGCTCTCATCTGTGAAAACCACAGGGTGCCAATGGCAGACCTGCCAATTCTTGTGTTCAGTGGCAAATGCCAATCGAGCTCTATGGTGGCAGGCAGTGAGCACAGGGCCCACTAGAGGATGTTTGGCCCTCAGGCCACCCTCCATGAAGTCTGTTTCTGATTGTTTGGTCAGAGACATTCACACCAGTGGCCTGCTGGAGCCCCTCAATTT